CGCGTAGTTCCCATCGGACCCCAATTCAATCCTGAATTTTTCATTCAAAAAGGAGATAGCGCACCAGCTAATGATGCATGCCTCATTGAATTTCCAAAAACTTCGGTCCCCTTATTTAGGCCGAGGCCTTTGCTAGGAAAAAAACGTTCATACCATCGCTACATGAGTTCGGACTTAGGTCCGAAGCTGGCGTCAAAATTAGCTGGGATATCAGAATTAACGGCAGCTGGAATCGAAATTCGCCGAACCTCTCCCCGAGATAGTAACAACACATGGGCATTTATGCATCTACCCTCTCTAGGTAGCTGAAGACAGTAAGCTCACCTCCCAAATCTTCCCAATGTTGCTGAGACGATTTTCGCGAAAACTACGGACCACTCTAGCACCCAGGACAGCTCTAGATTACCTTCCCTCAGACCGTGGGAGGCGACCTTTCCCACCCATCTAAGGTTTCCATCGAGCGCAAAAAAAGACGACAAGTAGGCTGGTAGAACCTTGTCATATGAACACGGCGATCATTTCAAGACGTCAAGCCACTTATTGACTGTCCGCCTACAAGCCTCGCAAGTCCTGAGAACGTTGTCATATTGAACTGATTTTCATTTCTTCTCCAAGCCTCCATCAGGGACTCGCTATTCAGGTGGAGGCGCCTTGTCGCATTATGTGAAGTCTACAGAACAGTCTAACGTCGGCTAATCAAGCATTAAGGATCAGATGACCATGCCACACCAAATATGTATGGAAACAATATCTGAACCTGCGGCCCTGTCAAACAGAAGCTACTCTCTATAAACTATGAAAAAGTCTATAATCTCTGGAACACCAGGGAAAAGAATGGGGCATGAAGGCATTCCAGAGGAGAGTGGGAACAGCGGACGTTGTTGGCTGAGATCGTGTAAGTGTATGTGTATGTTTTTCAGTGACGGCAAACTTCAAAATGAAGTCAGCCAGACTGACGAGTGACAGCATGCCAGATAAAGCAAAAACACACCGTGTAATTGTTCGTAGTAGAAAACGCCACCCATCCTACACATCTCGCTCATCACATGTCTGAAGACGGGGTTTGTCAAAAATCTGGGGCTTCCCAAAGATGACGTCCTTCTTTGACCCGAGCTCCTAATCGGTTTCACCATCTTTTTTGGTCCCTACGGAATAGAAACAAGCCAATGACGGGTGTTTTTGGGTGTTTTGAGGTCTGGAAGACTTCAAATACTCAGCACACGTTCTTAGGAAGGTAATCGTAGGTCTGCTCGAGGGAAGCCACTCAAATTCCTGATATGGGACCTAATAAAAAGGGACAGGCATCACTGAGAAGAGAATCAAAGGAAAAATTCTGGACCCTGGGTATGGAAGAGGAAATGGTTGGGGAGAGAAAGTTCAAAACGAACGTTCCGGACAATGGGTCCTGGAGAAAAAGCCGAGAAGCAGTTCCTGCTATGTATGAGCATTTAACTGAACTTCGACATTTCCAAAACAGGATAAACAGTTCGACGTTGAGCTGGAGGGTTCCTAGGCTCCACATCATGCATCTATACGATTCTGAACAGAAATGCTTAGCCAGGGATCTGCTATTTTGTCCTTTCAGCTTTTAATTGGACGGAATCACGAGCAAGACGGTGTTTGTTAGACACCATGCCGTGAAAACTAGATTTACTGAAGAAGGATGGAACGACAACAAACTGATAAACACATTGTAACAAAATCAGCAAGCTGCCAGAGAAGAAATGTTGAATGTTTTGGTCAGGGCTACGAAATGCTAGAGCCAAGCCCGGAAGGGAATACCGCAAATGCAAGATGAGGGTAGCGAGGCACGGAAATGATAGCGTATGTGTTCAATGATCCATTAGTTTGCCAGAACTAGTCATTAAGAAGAAGCAAAGACCTTCACTTGGCTGTAGCACATCTCCGGTGCCTAATAGACGTCGGAGAGCTAACCAAAAGAGGCCGGAATCAGTTTGAAAGTCACAAGTTGAGGATATAGTTGGCTCTTTCTTGTAGAGCGGCATGCGAGGGGGAGCAGAGGAGCGGAACTGTGGGAGTAAATTGAATTCTTACAAAGAAAGAACAGTTTTTAGCGATTTATGCTACGAAAAAATGAATTGAGGGCCCTAAATCCCTTCGAAACGCTTTCATTTTTTTCGACGACTTGGGCCTGCTTAGGCCTGACGTCACTCAGGAAATGCGTAGGCTGAGAAGAGAGTAGTAGTCGTCAGAGTCATTTCGAGGCCATCACAACACTGCCTTCAAGAAACCAAGATTACAATAAGACTTTGCAGTCAAAGAGTTCCTGTAAGGCGTAGAGGCTACCTCCGCTGTCCTGAAAAGATTCATGCTCCGTCAATCTTGTCGCATGACATTTTTTACATATGTGGAATTTGAATGGCTTTTCGAACAGCCGACGATGTCATTGACATTTGTGTTGAGGCATTTATTCTGCGTTTCATTCTGCAAATTCTCATCCAGCAACTTCAAAATATTCAGAATGGTCGGCTCCGAAAAATCCCTCAGCAACGATGGGATAGCCTGAAGATACCAGGAGATACCGTAATTGATGCTCGCTCTAATTTCCATGCCATTCACCAACTCTTGGCTCCTCCAGTTTCAGTCCTGAAGGACAGATTCTTTTGACCGGCAGAGTTAGTGCCTTATTTCTAGCTCGTTATGAATTTTGTCATCTACGAATAGAGGTTTCTG